GTATAAGACAAATTGTTTCTTAATGCTTTCAGGATTCTCTCTTGACTTTCTACAGTTTGATAACTTTTCTAGAAGGTTTTCTCTGGTTTTATCTTAGAGTTTATTGAACTTCTTAGCTGTATAAATTCATTTCATTCAAAATGTTTAGAAGTTTTTAGCCATTTTCTCTTCAAATATTTTTTCTACCCATGTGTATGTTGATGTTCTTAGCTCTGTGATTTTTCTTCATTCTTTCTTTCTTGGTCTTGGACTAGGTGATCTCAATTGGCATATCTTTATGTCCATTGACTATTTTTTCTGGCCTATTCAAATCTGCTGTTGGACCTTACATACTGAAATTTTTTAGTTATACTTTTTAAGCTCAGCAGTTCTGTTAGCTCCTTTTTAAAAATTTGTCCCTTCGTTGATAATCTTAATTTGGTGATCTGTAATTCTTATACCTTAGTTTTCTACACATGTTCTTTAAGCGTATTTAAAATCTGTCTAGTAGTTCTAATATATGTCTTTGTCTAGTAGTTTTAATTTCTGAACTTTGTCACAATTTGCATTTTTCTCTGTTTGGACCAGACTTTGTGGTTTCTTTGCCTGGCTCTTTGAGTGTACGGGGTGGGGGTGGGGGGGAGTTGGTTTGTAGACATTTTAAGTATATAATTCTCCCATCTTCCTCAGAGTTTGTTTTTATTGCTTGTTGTGGTTTGTGCTGTTTATCTAGTTTTATGTGTACAGTAATGGCTCTGTGTGGCCACTGGAATATCTGTTTGCTTAGCTTGGTGATCAGGAATCAGGGTTGTGGTTTTGGGAATATATATCAGTATTTATTTGTATTTTTTTCCAGTATTTGCCAGTGGGCTTTATGTACGTGTTAGAGCATGCCTTCAGGATTCTGCTAGATAATTTACAGTTCTTTCTTAGCCTTTATTTGTTGCTTGTGCAGAGCTTGAAGATCAGCCAGAGGCAAGAACTTAGGGCCTCCCCAGGTCTTTCTGAGCATATGCTCTGCTCTGCTTGGGCATGCACATGATCTGGCCTCTAAGAAGTACATGGGAGCCTTTCAGGGCCCTTACTCCCCAAAGTGTTTTATTCCCGCTTATGGCTTTCATCTAGATGTCCCCCCAGAGCCCCCTGCAGTCATAGGTGGGGCTTTTTCTGAGATGGCTGGATGTAGGGTGTGTGATGCTGGAATTGATTCTTGGTGTAATGCTAGGATCAAGGACAGGAGGATTAAGGATGTGAGTGCTGCCCACCCTAAGTAGCCTGGATAGGACATAAGGGATAGGAAGAGCTTAGTCATCCCTTGCTTTCCTGCTTGCTTTTGCTGTCTTCTATCTCCAATGAACTGTTCTCCTCTTCAGTGCCCCTCTGCCATGTGCCACTGTGCCTTGGAGCCAGCCACCTATGGACTGAAACCTCTACACACTGAGCTAAATAAACTCCTCTTTTAACTTTGGATGTTAGGTATTTTGTCTCAGCAATAAGAAAAGTAAGACACTCCCCAGTCCTTTTCCCCAAGATTTATCATTTATCCATTGCTTGCCCCAACAATTATTCTTGCCCAATTTAGCACTGTCTGATAGATTTGCCTGTAAGTGTTTTTAACACATATGCTCCTAACCCAGAAAGCTCTGAGTTTGGCAGAACGAAGACAAACCCTTTATATAATCTTACCAGCTTGCCAACAGACAAATCAAAACAAGCAGCCAGTTTTTTGAGGATAGGATCAGTCCTGCCCTTTCTGGCACCAGAAAGCTACACCAAAAACTTAGGTTGTCTTCAAGACTCTACTGAGAATCAGCTCAGTGGTGACTCTCCAATGCTTGCCTGATTACTATAAACTTTGGTTGGTGTTCATAGTTTCTTGGACGTAGCCATGTAATGGCTACAGTTCAAGTAAAGTTGATTCTGACAGTTTTTGCCAGGTTATTGACTGTTTCTGTGGAGGATCAGGTCTTTTTGAGTTTTCTACCCTGCCATTTTCTCTCTTTTATCACACTGCTTAAATCTTGATGAGTGTATATTACTTTCAATTTTTAAAAGTGACAATATGTGTCTTTTTTACAGAGGTTATTTGAATGTTAAGGTAATTCTTGTTTCGCTTACCAAAGAACTGTAGTATCACATTAGAATGAAAAGAATTCTGGCAAATTAATCCAGTAGATCTCTTGGTACCAAGTCTTTTTTTTTTTCCAACAGTCTTAAAGATGGCCTGCTTACCTGCAGCACCTTCAAAACACTTCTCAAACCAAAGAAATTAAAGGTGTATTCTACTGAACGTGGAAGATAAATATTGTAGGATTCAAGTCTCTAGTAAAAATGTGATACAAAATGTATTAAAGTGAATTAGAGAAGCTTTACATCTTCAGTTGGGAGCAGGGTGCAACAGCCTGCATCTGTAGTCCCAGCCACTCAGGCAGCTGGACCAGGATGATTGCTTGAGCCCAGGGCATTAAGAACAACTAGGTAACGCCAAGTGCATAAAAACAGAAAGAAAGAAATGAAACTTTAGTTGAGTATATTCATACTATAGTTACATGAACATTTTCATACAGTTGATCAGTAAGAACATCATAGTTACTCTCACCCCGTTCCTATTTGTCAGGTTATTCAGTTGAAATGTGAAGCTCAACAGCCAGCATGGATCTGATTGTGAAGCAACAATTTTTGTTTCAATTCTGTGTAACCTGTGTGCAAGGCAGTATGAATTTGAACAAATCACCTTTCTCTGCTTCACTTACCATGTAATAAAACAGGTCTGATGATAACTATTTATGTCATAGGTTTGTTATGTGAATAAAATTGGTTAATATTTTCACTAAATACCAAAAATTAAATAAATGTGTATGTTGGACGTACAAATTATTGAGTATATGTCTTTTTACATTATTTTATTTTATTTCACTTTTGTCTTTGTGAGACAGGGTTTCACTCTGCAATTCAGGCTGGCCTTGAATTCACATTGTAGCCCAGGCTGGCTGCGAACTCATAGTGATCTTCCTACCTCAACCTCTCAAGTGCTGGGATTACAGGCCTGTGCTGCTACGCCCAGCATACTAGAACATGTCTTTTTAGATACAAAAAAATCTTTAAGCTTTTCAGCTGTATCCACCAGTGACAGTGTTTACTAGTGAAATTGCTGAGTAGCTTCTCAAGAGGAAAATAGGCAGTGTTTGTGATAGCCAGTCGGGGAGTGGTGGGTATATATATGTGAGGTAACCTAGAGGGTGGTAAACTGCATTGTAATGATCTGGGAGACCAGGAAGGATAGGCAACATAGTAGAAGATAAGGCAAAAAAGATAGGAAAACATCAGGTGATGGAGGCGCTTGGAAGCTACCAAAGGGTTTGTAACAGGAGAGGCATTTGGCCATATATATTTGGGTTACACACAGCAAAAAAAATTAAGGATTATAGTCAGATTGGCAAGACTGGAAGCAAGGCGATGTCTTGATGACTATTAATGATTTTCATTCTTAAATTGTAGATGTTGCATGATGAACGTGTATTTTGTAATAAAAATATATAAACTCTTATTTTGTAAGAAATCTATTTTTGGAATAATTTTCTCTGTGATATTCTTTATGATACACTATCCCTATTTTTGTGAATACAATTAAAAACTCAGAATAATTCATTTGACACATGACTTCATTGCTCAAGAAAAAGATTCATCACACATTTCCAGTAAACTGGAATTTACTACTACATATTACCTATGGTCTAAGGTAGGAAATGCATCAGTTTTATTAAGCAAATTAGAATGGAAAAAAAAAACTACTATATTACCTTCCCAAACATATACTGCTAATTTTATAGTTCCTCAGCCTTACATACGTCACAAAAATATTCACACCTAGGGTAGCATACTAGCCTGAAGCAACAGCCCTAGGAAATTAATAATGAAAATTATGGTTTGCCAAGGAAAACTTGACAGAATAATTGCATTCTCCTTTTATCTTTATTTATTTAATAACTTTAATCCTATATATGTAGAATTTTGTGTTGATTTGGTTTTTTATTCATTTTCAGTGTAGTAGTTTGAGGAACTAATTGGACAGCTATCAAACAAGGAACAAATTTTACTAGTATTTTCCTCTGGAATATGTTATTGGAGTATTTTTTAAAAGTCGGGATATAAGTTTTAAATCTCAATTTGATAGCATATTGCTGCACTTCGATAGTCATTACTGCACTTTTTATACTGGTCATGTAGAATGGAGTTCTTTGCTATTTCCTGTGCACATAGTAAGTATAAAAAATACGATTTTTAGCATCCATTTAATCTGAAATACTGAAACACAATGACCTCTTAAATACTGTATATTTAAGTGATGTATATTAATAATACATGAGTAATAGGCAAATTTATTTCTGTAAACTAGACTGGGTAAACTGGAAAACATTACAAACACCCTCCAAAACATGAAAAAACAAAACAAAAGTATTTTCTAGTTATAGTTATTTTTGGATAAATGCATATTTAACTGCCTTCAAATACATATACTTTTTTTCACATGTGAAATTGAGATTTTGTGGGCTGTTGCTGGATGGTAAATTCAATATAAATAACAATGAAGAAACTACATCTGGTAAGCCTGGGTTTCAGGAACTGGCTTAAAGATTCTCAAGTAAATAAAGACCTTCTTTGAAGGCACACAGATGTATTAATTTTTAATATGTTTCTTTTTGATCTCTTAATTACTGAAAAAGATTTATTGGTCAATTTTAGGAAAGCAAGTTTTTGAAAAGTTTTGCCAAATACTGTCTTCTTTAAATGACTGTATGGTAATGAAAAGTTAAAGAGGAGAGCCAAATTAGATTGAATAATTGTTCAGTCATGTGGGTCAAGCTAGCTGCATAGCCTGGTTGTTAGACTGATTGCTCAAATTACATTGCCTGGGGTCCTGCACTTGGTTGGCTGTCTTCTCAGATCTTAACAAGCTTCTGGGAATTTCTTTTTCTGACAAAGTTTGCTTTGTATTTTCCCCCTCCCCCTACAACCTCCAGGATGCTTCATCTGCAGACATCAGAAAAGCATATCGTAAGCTTTCACTAACTTTACATCCAGACAAGAATAAAGATGAAAATGCAGAAACTCAGTTTAGACAAGTAAGTGAAGTATGCTATTACATATATTTTTATATTAATAAATACGTTTATGGTAGAATATTAACTCACATGTGGAACAATTCCATTTGAAAATGAAGTCACAGTTTTCAAATTTAATATACATTTTTAATTCAGTTTTTAAAATGAAATTCATTTTTACTAGTATTTTGTATTACTAGATTCTTGAAATTCTTGGAGGAGCATAATTGTCATAATTTTCTTGTCTGAATTATAGTTTTTGCTTTTAAAAACATTTAAAGATAAATTATTACTCTTGCATCTTTTACAAAGTCTTGTTTTGATATCAAGTCTTGTTTTGATATCTTGTTTTGATTTTTTAACTTCTTATGCTACCAACAACATAAAATACTACTTATAACTAAGATTTTCTCAGTTTATTACATATATGGGCACAGAGTTTTCTGCATGTACATTAGAGCCTTCACCCTCCTACATGATTTCTTATAGTTGAGAGTATTTTTATTTTAAAGTAATGCTTCTGTTTTAGTTGGTGGCCATTTATGAAGTTTTAAAGGATGATGAACGAAGGCAGAGGTGAGTGTTCATTTGCACTTTTGAATTGATGTTATATTTTTGTGCCACAGCTTTTAAAAGGAAAAAATTGTTTTATTAAATACTTGATTTCTTATGTTAGTATTTTTGTTCCAAGACATGTAATGTTTTACAAATGCATGTTTAAAACAGAGTTAATTTCTATTGAAAATGTTCACTAGGTTTGATTCAAAACTTACAAACTTTAGGATCATGAGTCATAATGTTACTAAATTCTGCTTCATTAGATAAGATTTTTAACATGGCTTTTTATGCCCTGGGAAATACAAATACCACTTGACTTCAAACAAATGTCCATTCTTTTCATCATGTCAGTAACAGCTTCTGTCCAGGCCTCTGTTCCGTAAAAGTAACTTGTTAGCAATAGACAAGTTAGTATACTTTCTTGATTGTTTTTTCATTCTCAAGAGTTAACCTGATTTGTGAGGCAGCAGAAGAGTAAAAGAGAATTAGTCACCTCTCTGATTTCTTTTGCGTCCTTCTCCTCCTTACTCATTGCAGTGATTCTGTAATTAGGGTTAACCCTCAGGACTGAGGCAGTGCTGGCTCTCAAGCCTCAGCCTGCCGTTCAGAAGGGTCGCATATGTTTAGTGAGTAGTTAGTTCACAGTGCCAGTGCTGAAGAGGAGATTGCAGGAGGCCTCTTACTCCTGCAGAACATGTGGATATAGATAGTTATCTGGGCTTCAAAGTTAAAAATACATTTTCACAGTAAGAAATGCATTTTCACTCACTCAAACTGGAAAGGAGAAGTTTCACAAAAACATGTATTACGTGTGAAACAGACTGAATGTTCTAATCTAGATTCCAGTCTCTTCTTCCTCTTCCTGCTTCCTTCTCCTCCTTCTGCTTCTTCATTTGCTTCCTTCCTCATCTTCTTTCTTCTCCTCCGCCTCCTCTTTTTCCCCTCTTCCCTCCACAGTGTTATTTGTGGTCCACAAGAAACTAGTGGCCAGAATCTAAAATTTGAAACTATTGCTCTACAGTAAATGAATACTTATAAAACAAACTAAAAAAACCCAAGTGTTTGAGATTTAAGTGTAAGTCAATCTGTATCTTTCTATGGGGAAAATACATCTTCAAGACAGAATCCTTCTTCAAATGTATACTCTGGAATTATTCTGTATCTTAAAAGGATAATTACAACTCTTGATTCTCATCTAACTGTTTAATTTGAATATACCTCAGTTTGTCAAATTGCAAAACAAGGGTTCAATATTCTCTTGGAGTGTTCTTCGCATTATAACAAGGGCTGAAATTGGTCCAGGTACCATAGCAAACATTCCTCTGGTTTGAAATAATCTGTAATGCTGAAAGAGTCCTGTAAGTGTGTTGAAAGAAGTTTTGGTTGTTAACGTACATATTTTCTAGTTGCTTTCTTTCAGTGAGCCCCTTGTTTTGTTTCACACATCTGGAATGTGTCTGTAGAGATAGTCTTACTGGTCTTCCATCATCTTTGCCATCACATTTTGTCTTTTTATTTGTTGATATCTTAGAAGTCAGTAAACTTCATGACAGTTTATTTCACTTACTGAAATTATGTTGATCTTTTTAGAACAAATCACTTCCTGTGTATGAATTATTTTTTCATTAACAGAATCATCTAATATTACCTCTGTAGGATTAGTTTCCTTTGCATTTATTTAAGAATGTTGGTAGAAAAAAATTGATCTGACAGTTACACAAACAGCTGTAGTATTTATACCCCTTGAGGCTCAAGTAACTCTTTAGTAACTGGTTTTCCTTGAGGCAAAAGTCTTAACTAATCAAGCTGAGAATCACTCCTCTAAAGCTGTGCCTGAGGCCAGGTGACCTGTGAGTATCTAAACATATAGAAGAAAGGCATCTTTGCAGACAGTTACCTAGTTCCTAATTCCCTTTTAAAAAGAGCACAATCACCTTTATTCCCTAAAAGAATATTGTCCTACATTGGTATTGAAAATGCTTTTTGGTATCATAACTGTTAAGTGCATTTAAAAGTGTTACCTTCTAGGAATTTGCAGTTTGGAAAGTTGATATAGACATGTTTCCTATTTATTTCCCTTGCATGTAGTTGTGCTCTCACCGAAATTAGATGCATTATTCACATTTTGTTAGAAAGGGAAATGAAAATGAAATAAATAAATTAGCATGCTGTATAAATTTTCAGTTTTCTTTTTCTTGATAACTGTTCTTTTAGAAAACATTTTATTTTCTTTTGTAACAGCCTTACTTAGATATAAAATGCATACCATAAAAGTAAACTGTTAAGTGTACAATTCAGTGATTTTTTAAAATAAATGTACAGAGTTATGCAAAGCATTGTCACAGTTCAGTCTTTTGAACATTTCTGGTCACTTCACAAAACTCCCTCAAGCCCATTTGTAGGCAATTCTGACTCTGATATCTGTCCTAGACAAACACTTATCTATTTTATGTACTTACAAATTTGTCTTTTCTGCATGTTTCATGTAAGTGGACTTATGCAGCATGTAGTGTTCATATTGTTTTGTTTTGAACCAGGAATTGAACTCAGAACCTTGCGCTTGCCAGGTTATGCTGCTGAGCTGTATCCCTGGTCCTTCATATTGTTTTTGGGGTTCGTTCATATTGTAGGGTATTGCTGCCGTCTATTTTTTGTTGCTAAATAGTATTTCATTTTGTGACTATACCACTTGTTTATCTATTCACCAGTAGGTGGAGCGGTGCGTTGTTTACACTTTCTGGTGATGATGAGCAGTGCTACTATGAACAGTCACATATGAGTCTTTGTGTAGACTCATAGGTGGATTCTTAGGTGCGCAGTTGTGAATAAACTTTTAACACCTCCCTTCCTTTTTCCTCAGTGGGGTTGACTGTAGCATGAAACTAACAGGTTTTCCTGGTTAGTATAAGAAAACCTAGCATAGCAGCCTTTCTTAAACGCTTGCTTAGTTAACAGAAGAGTGGTCCAATTGTGGGCCAACATAAATTTCTATACAAAAAAGTACAGAACTGACTTTAAACTACTTAGTACCAGTTAATACATATGTATACCAGATTATGCTTTAATGATATTAACATATTTACTTTGGCTAAAACATGTGATAAATTTTGACCAGTATTCTTTTGCTAATCTGATTTTTTTATGTTACTATATTTGTAAAAGTTGGATATGTATTTTTTAGTTTACTAAGCAATGTTTTATTTATAAATACAGTTTATTAGTCTTGATTGCCAAAATCCATTACCAGGTTATTGTAAATTTGATTACAGATGTGTTCAAATCAAAATAAATATTAAAGCAACAATAAGAAATCTTACTTTTGCACTTTCTCTAATTTGGAGACAGTAGACACCTGTTATATATGATATATAAAGTATGATGCACCAAAGTTTAGATATATATGTATCAATTAATTTAGTCTTGTTTCCTATTTATGATCTTTGTACAAGTGATTTTTTCTGGAAGGTTTGAAATAGCACCAAAATGCATGTGGCATTGTCATTTAACAAGCTTTGTATGACAGAAAATTCACAGTGTTGGCAACTGGTGGAATTATTTATTCATTTTCATAATATACAGATTTTCTGTTATATCATTGTTATTTTATATTTTAAATTATGCTAAAATTCTAAATTTACATAAATACTTATGCTGGTAATTCAAAAGTTTTAAAGTTAACTTTGTTCCAGTGTTTGTACTAGGCTGCATATGTTCAATGAATTGCAGATTTCTAATAAGAGCGCATTAATAATTACACAACCATTATTTTATGTTTATTGTGTACATTTTAAGAAAATCAGGGGCTGGGGATTTAGCTTGGTGGTATAAGTGCCTGCCTTGCAAGTGTGTGGTTGTGAGTTCGATCCCCGGTACTGATAAAAAAGAAAAAGAAAAAAAAAAGAAAATCAAGTGAAATAAACATAAGTTAGGCTGTATGTTAGATGTATGGAGCTGATGAATCAGTGTTTTCTTTTTTAAGAACCCTTCATAGTTGCAGAGGATTTCTTTCAATGGTGATATTTTCATCATAGAGATTTACTTCTGAGTATCTTATAACACATTTATATATTCATACAGTTTTAATCTGGGTTTGTTGAAACATGTAGTTTAACACATATAGTACATATCCTTAATTATGTGTGCAGGAAGCACAGTTTATCAATCTCAATTACATGGTATTTTGAAACCAATATGTGCTGAAATATTAACAAAATATAATAAAGTGATATTTTAAATTATGTGTTCACAGAACAATGTTTTTCTTAAATAACTTATGAAGTTAGTTTCTATATTTGAGGAAGTGTGTTTGTCTTTTTAGTATTTCATCAAGGAAGTGGTAGTTTGTCTTTTAACAGCATATATTCTAAAAAGCAAACTATAATAGATGCTATCTTCCCTTAAAATGGCCAGTCGTGTGAACCATAATGTTCATTGATAGTAAAATCAATAGAGCATTGATTCTAAGCTAATTCTTGGATACTGTTGTTCAGAGTAGCAGTCATAGCCTAGTAAATATCTGGTTGTGTTTAATGTGTTTGGCGCGTGAGGTTTTGCAGTCTTGAATGGTTGTGTGCTAAATACAATTTATACATGAGTTAGAAAAATAACAATTCAGATACTTATTTTCAGTAATGATGGTGATAAAATATTTCATGAGATTCTTAACAAAGCTCAGCTGTGCTTACTTCTGATACCGTTTAGATCCAAAACAAATTTAATGTTACTAAGTAGTTGTGTCCACTTTCTGAGATTTTAAAAATTAATAACAACATTTTTACATGAAGTTACATTATGAGAAAGTTTTTCTAAAAATAGTGATTTTTATATTCATTGTTTTTCCTCAATAAATCTGAAGAAGGATAAAAATTTAAAATAAATTTTTATTTATTTTAAATAACATTCACTGAACTTCATTCAAATATTGTAATCTTATGTTATATGAATTAAAACTTTTGTACTTACCCTACGTCTAATTTTAAATAGCCAGTTTAAAAAATAAAAAATGATAAAAAGCCAGTTTTTAAAAAGATAGATTTAAACAGAAATTTTTGAGGACAGAAATGATAGTTCTAAATGAAGTCATAGCATGATGTCTTGAAGTTACTATTTCCAGAAATGCTACAAATGTTGAGAAAGGATACTATCTAAGCCTCAAATTTTGTCTATTTCTATACAAACATATTTTAATTTGTAGACTCTGGTAAAAATAGTTTGTCTTTTTAGAGTTTAATACTAATTAATGTCCTTTGCTTTTAATATTTTGTTATTCTGATCTAATAGCATTATTAATAACATCAATTTAAAAGTCATTGTAAAATTTGTTAATAAAATAATTTTTTAATTAATAACCAGTGTTTTTCTACTGAAAAAAGAAGTTGCCTGTAATAAAAGTCTGCTTTATTTTTTTAGCATATCTCTAAGGTATCAATTTAATAACTATCAAAGTAGCTACTGCAGTTGTTGCATTTAAATTGATTTACATGTCAAGACTGGCAGTTTAGCAGCTGCGCTATTATTCCTAGATCGGTCAATTTACTTGAGAAAAACCTACTACTGAGTTCTACTGACCTGCCTGACAATATAGGCCTTATTTCTATTCCTGTAATTAGGCCTGCTACTAACTCAGAATATTTTTAATTAAAATATTTTGGTCAATGTGTTGCACCAAATTAGGCCTTTCAGTGAAGATTTAATTCTAGAAATAGTGTGATTAGAATATTTAATGAGTTGTGTTCAATTAAAATTAACAGGTTGTATGTGTTGAACATACAGTGTTTGTGTGTGACCATTTTAACAATCATAAATGTTACTATTTATTTTTAACCTTAAAAATATTTCCCTCAACTGACAGATATGTTTAAATTCAATTGAAATTTTATTTTAAAGTGTGTTCTAGCTTGATGGTACCAAGAAAGATTATTAAAATGCATTACAGTTAACACTTACTTATTAATAGTCTTCCCTTTCAACAAAAGCCAAAAATGAGGAAATTACTACTTAAATATTTACAAATAATTTTGTTGAGAAATATGGCATAAGCGTTCGATGTTTCCTCACCCCTTTCTAGTTTTGGAATTTTTTGTTTTCTAAAGGAAATGAGCAAAATCAAAAAACTTTTACTTCATTAAAAAGCTTTGAAAAAATAATGTGTATAATTATTTCAACATTAAACCACCATATTATAAGAGTAGAAATAAAAGCACTGACTAAAATTTGAATCCTAAATTTGATTCAGTTAATATGCAATTTTTAGTATCAAATAGCTCTAATCTTTTTCTCCTGTTGAGTCCTTCCTTTCATTGCTAACTCTGTGGGGTTTTTTCCTGCAGTGTGGTAGTTCCTTTAGGTTAAGGTGTCATGGCAGGGTCACATCCTCAGGTACTGTAATGCATGATATCTGGTACCTACCATGTATTATCATTATGCACCTGCTTGAAAGTGGGCGGTAACCAAGCTACATAGGGCGCTTTGAATTTACTACATAGTGCAATGCTGGTAATCTATGTGAATATTATATTTTGGGAAAAAGCATTTTCTTGTTCTTTTTTGAAAATATACTATAAGTAGGTTGTTGTTGTTCTTTATTTTAAACACCCCATGAAACACTGTTACATTTGCTACTGTAGGTATGATGATATTCTGATCAATGGACTTCCAGATTGGCGACAGCCTGTATTCTACTACAGGCGGGTGAGAAAAATGAGCAATGCTGAGCTGGCATTACTCTTGTTCATTATTCTCACAGTGGGTCATTATGCTGTGGTTTGGTCAATCTACCTAGAAAAACAACTGGTAAGTATTGGTGATAAATCAACTAATCTAGCCTTCTTCATTTTATATGAAATTTAAGACATTTATTTCTCAATTGATGAAAATTTCTTTTTCTTTATATATACTCTTTATTCAAATAGGTTTTTATATTCACTAGTGTTTACTGGTATCTCAAAAACTCCAAAATATCCTTCTTTTTAAAAATATGGCATTTGATTTTATTGTAAAACTTTGTGGAAATCCAGCTATTTAGCTGGAAATTAGAAAGTAGAATCATGCTTTCTTAGTTATCACCTTCTAAATAATTATTATTTAATATAGACTTGTTCTAGAAATTTTTTGTGACAGATCCTCATATAATAATTAGTTGTTTTTTAAAACATTTTCATTTAAAGAGATATTTTAATTAAATAAGATTTGAAATGAACATATTTTATACCTTCAGAAAATAGTTCATTAAAAAGTTTATTGATCTAATGCTGCCATATAGTTAATTCTGGTATGAATTTGTATTTGATATTTGTTTATTGATTTATATAAACATATTTATCGTGTTCATGAATTAGCATGTTTACTTATTTCCTTTGAAATGACATGATTAAAGTTGCATGAATGAGAAAAGTAGGTTGAATACTTTCTCTTATTAGAAAACTTTGATTGCTTTGGAGATGCACATGACTGACAGTGCTGAACTTCATGTGTGTTTAAGTCCTGGATACCATGGCAACAGTTATTGCAAAAGATTGATGATTTTACTTAATCATGTTGGACCATACATATATTTGCATAAATATTCCTCTAAAGTGTTTATCCTTTAAAGAAGAGTCTTGATAGCATTTGAAGAGTGCATGTTTAATGAATGATAACCTGTAGCCATAATTCTTTCCACATTAAGGATGAACTGCTTAGTAGAAAAAAGAGAGAAAAGAAAAAAAGGACAGGAAGCAAGAGTGTGGATATATCAAAACTTGGCGCCTCAGAAAAAAATGAAAGGTGGGAGTAAATAAAAATACTTATGATTTGAAATTTTTAAAATATTTGTGATTTGAAATTTTTAAAATATCTTTATATCTATATCCATTTCAGATGTGTTCTCATTCCATCTGTAGTATATAGAGAATAATGTACCATAATTTATAAAACAAATCCTAACCTTAAGTGAGAGTCCTAGAATTTTTCTCTCATAAAACGTTTATATATTTAAATGATGTAAAATTGTGATTTCTTACAGTTTCTTATAGTTTGAAATTTTGTACTGAACTTTAGGAAAAAATTATTACTAGAAAAATCTCTTAACTGAGAAGTGACAATATGAAGAGAGGCAATGATACGCTGTACACTCAGAAAGATACCACCATTTCTTCTATTGATTTGTAGAAAGAAATAAAGGGTTTAAATAGTTCACACAGCAGGGCACGAACTGGATCAATGTGGAATGGAGAGCAGAGACTATTTTGCCTGTCTTCCATTCTGATGACATTAGTGAGTAATGCTTCAGTGAACTGCAAATGACATTGATTTTTATGTATTAGTTTGTTTATGCTACAGTCTTCATATCTGGTTGTCAGCACTTGGGAACACTCTGACAATGGTTAGTTTTTAATAGCTGAAGTAATCATAAGGTTTAAGAATTTGTTTTGTAGAAGTGATGAAAAGCCCAGGTTATAAAGAGAGATTTTGCATCTTCATCTTTGTAACTTGACTAGAAACCTCCTTCCCCCAAGTTTTAGCCTGTATTGTTACTTGGTATATAAATTGCATTTGTTGTAACTACTATATTTCATGAAAAATTAAGTCAGATTAAGTGAAACTGTCAAATGTTTCACTGAATACTTCATATTTTGTTGGTGGTGAAATGGGTATTCAAAAAGGAATTCATGAATTTAGAAAAAAATTTTTTTGTTTGTTTGTTTCTCATTGTTCTGAGATTCTTTTGCTGATTTGTTATTTGGGTTTCCCTACCCTTTTAGATTGCTGATGAAACCACAATGGCATGATTTGCTTCCATGCAAGCTAGGAATTTGGTTTTGCCTTACGCTAAAAGCATTGCCTCATCTAATCCAGGTAAAGTGTACTTCTTTCATATGGTATTCGATGCTTTCATTGTTAATTATTTATGAAATAATTTATGCCCAGGTCTGCTTCCTGAATGGTAATACTCAGTGTATACTTCATAATGTTGGTTGAATTGAAATCAAGTACATTTATAAGTTAAACCTAATTTAAATTCTGATTATTCATATATCTATTCTTATAATTACCATATTTGTCTATTAAAATACCTTAGAATTCTAAGACACTGGAAAAAGAAAAAAAGTTATCTTGAGGACAGACATAAAAGCAGTAAAAGTTTCATTTGCTGTTGTCATTAAAAGCATAACCAGTAAAAAGAAACAGACTCAAGTAGCTTGTTACTTATTGTTTTAATAGTTTTAAAGTACATAATGTTAAAAAGAGAAACATCTTTAACATGAGCTTCTGTATAATTATGCAAAAGTATGTAGTGCTTTTAATTTATTTACAACTTTAAGAGGAGTGAGGACATTTTGTCTTCCACTGGTAATCAGAGTTTCTGTTTCAAGTTAGTCTTGGTCAAGCAATAAAATGTGGGCACATATGTTTATATGGCAATTTTCCATTCTTTTATGCTCAGCATACCAAGTATATTTTATTAAATTATTATTTTGTTAACTATTCATCTAGTTAGAAAATTCCCAACATATAATATATGAAAATCAATATACTTTTTGATGTACAGATTTTGAGGTTTGTTGAGATTGTAATTTTGAAGGAGTACTGTTTAAAGGTAAGTGCTAATAAGCCAGAGAACCAGTCCTGCTTGCTTTTTATTCACATATCAGAGCTTCTTTATAACCATTTATGGGAACTAGAGACCTTAACTTCTGCATCCTGTTTTTGTTTTTCTTCTCTTAGTGCAAATCTTTTTTTTTTTTTTTTTTGTCTTTTTCGTTTTTATCGGTACTAGGGATCGAACTAACGACTGCCTGCTTGCAAGGCAGGCGCTTATGACGCTGAGCTAAATCCCCAGCCCCTTCTTAGTGCAAATCTTATATTGGAAAGACAAAAAGAAATAAAAATTACCTACATGCTTCTGTTTAGCCTTTAAGAAATTATCAGTATTTCCATCAAAATAATTCATGTTAATAGTTACTTCTTACAGTCTTATATTTTGATTAGTTAATAAAGAAAAACTGAAGTATTTTAGTAACTTAGACACTTTTGTCTTTAGATTGTTTAACATGACATTTATTTGACAAAAACCCAAATTGTTATGTATTATATCAGTAAAACAATAAGAGAGAGGGAAAGTGTATTTAATCATATTATATGTTTATAAGAAAATGTGATAGAAATATTTTTAGGACAGGTTTTATTTTTTTCTTTTTTTTTTGGAAGTCTATTTTTGCCCATGCTAGAATCTGTGCAATAGGCAAATGAGAGAGTGAATGAATTTAAAAATATAATCCTGAGACAGTATAAATAGAATACCACGCAAATGTCAATCTTAAACACTTACTTGTAATTTTAATCTAAGTAATTTGAAGTAAAGTTTATATGATAAAATTAACGTATTTGTGTCTGTCTACTATTTCCAGACCTGTGACTCTTTTGTTTTATTATTCATTTTTAGAAAAGATACAGAAATAAGAAAATTTGCAGAAATGTTTTGATTTCTTTAAAACTCTTAAACAGTTTGATCAACTTGACTTTTAAAGTTTTTACTTACATTATGATACATGTTGCCTCGCAACTTTTAAATACTTAAGCATTAGCCTTTCAAGGCCTTATAAATCTAATTTTAAAATTTTGTTCTAATTATTTCTTCTTACTACATCAATTACCAGAAGAAAAGGATGATATTTCCTTTTTCTCATACAAATGCTTGATATTTTAACTGTGCTTTGAAAGCATAAGATTAGTTTTTCTTGTGGTCATTAGCAAAATAATATGATACATATTACCTTCTTTCTGATACAAATTGTAATAGTGGAACTACTTCAGATTTACAAACATATAGCATGTGAAAGATAGCAAAACAATACTAAATAGTTGCTGTTAGGTTTAGATTTTTGTTTGCCTTTATTCCCTGTCTTTTGTGACCTTCATATTAGTTTATCATTCATAAAATCATTTGAATTTTACATGTTTTTGTGATATTTCTGTAAGGGATCTTGTTAAATATGATACGGGTAAACTTAGACCTTTTAACACAAACAAACAGGATTGTTAATTGCTATAGTATCAAGAGGGGGGGTCCTACTAAAATCCTCAGTATAAAAATGGTACATAATAAGATCCTGAGTTTGATTCTCAGTACTCAAAAATAAAAAAGTAATGATACATAGAGCGTTAAACTTTTTAAACATACTTCACCTGTATTCACCACTCTCGTAATATGAAGCCACTGTTGTATTGTTAAATAGGAGTCAACTCATTAGAGTGCCTTATCTTCTTTCTTTCATAAACTACTATGCCTATAGTCTTGATGAAAAGATTGGAAGTCTTTTTAAAGAATCAAACTAGTCTCTGGTGAAGCAATATTATTATGTAATACTTTTTTCGCTAGTCCTTCACATCTATGAGCAACATTTTTAGTAGCTCTTCTATTGAGTTTCCCAAAGGACTAAGCTTGATTTTCATAGAAACAACTCTTATTTTCTACTAATATTTTATTTTACAAAATATTTAACTGGATCATATTATTAAATGACAGGTATAACTGGCATCTGTAGGGTTAAGAACTAAAATAGCTGGCTCTTTTAAACACACATCAGCTGGGGATTTAGCTCAAAGGCATAAGCACTTGCCTTGTATGCCTGAGGTTGTGAGTTTTATCTCCAGTACCGATAACCCCCCCCCAAAAAAAAACCCACAATCAATAAGCAGGTATCGATGAAAACAGTTTTACTTCTAGTGTGAGTCTCTTCAATTTCATGAACACTTACTAAAACTGAACTCCAAATACCCCGTGCCAGTACATAGAAGTGAAAGATTTAATGGCTTCCAGAAGATGAACTTCACAGTGGCAGAATCTGTTGTCTAATCTTGTCTTTGTAGCACCCCCAGCTTCTATCTTCCCCATTCATCCTCTGCATACCCATTTTGTTACTGAACTTCATATTGCTTGCAAGCTTATCTAGTAAGTTTGGAAAAAGTAACAATTTAACCCAGCCTATGGTCTGAAGTTCTCTTATATTATGTAGCATCAAAGATCCCTAAGAAAACTCTGTATTATCTGCTTAGTTTACCTAAATTCTTTTCTATCTCCTCCACCAAAAAAAATCATAAATGAGACCAGTTATATAGATGTTTGATATGTAAAGCCTTTTCTGGTTCTAGGTTAAAAAATAATTCATCCAGTTCAGTAAAAATATATGAAACACTTATAAAAACAAGGCACTACAAAGGATCTAGAAATAAATGTGCCTTCCAGGACCTTACAGTCAGGTAGCAGTTATAATGCATGAGTTTCAATGACCATTATACAGTATGGTACAGGGAGTAACATATGTCGTGTAAACCGTGACTTCTGGAGCTGTTCAAATAAGTAAGGTTGATTACAAGGAAAACTAAAAAGAGTCATTTGAATGGAGTCTTAAAAGATAAAAAATAGGCTCTTACAGTGAAATGGTCCACTTCGTACAGTAGACCACATACGAAGATAATTTCATAGATGTTGTACTTCCCATGCAATTGCACTGTGTTAAAGCTGAAACTCTTAAAAAGAAAGAAAGAAGAAAGAAAAAAAAGAGGAATATGCTGTCATCTATTTCTATATTCTAAGTCTCCAGTTCTGAGTCTGTCCATTTAGGAATTCATATGCTAAAGCTGATATGAGTGGTCTGTAAAGAACATTTATGCAGAATAAAGTTAATTTATGACATAACAAAGTCCATCATACATTTCTATGAAAAATATGTGTGCAATTTTATAGGTGGTAGAATCAAAGGCCCCAGTGGTTATGAAATGGACAGAAAATCCTCAAAAGGTTCTGTGATCAGTGGTATAGTATAAATGTGTTTTTCTTTTACTACTCCTGGCTTTTTTGAGAAGTTCCTCACACTTCCAACATTTAGTTTTATTCCTATATTTTGCTCTGAAGAAAATATTTGGAGAATTATAACAATAATAAATTAGAATAGCAGAGCTGTTATACTTGATACATGTTAAGTGTTTGATGTTAACTTAATATCAAACATTTTCCAGATAGGTCAGTATTCAAGGAAAAGATGCATAGAGATTCCTATTGTATACTTAGCAAAATGTGTCCCAATATCATCTATGTACCCACAGAAGTAAAAGAAGAAATAAGTAACTAATTAGAAATTAAGAAAAAAGAATATAAGGAGTGTTTGTGAACTGATGAGTAGATTGAAGGCTAGTGTGCTTAGAGAAGTAAAATGTGTGATTGCATGCAAGGAAGCTGGTGGACCTTAAGAAAGTATTCAGATAGCTAAAGATGCAAGTAGAGAGATCAGCAAGGAGCGCAAAATGAAGTAGAACCCAAGGGCTTTGAGGCTAGACTGTAACTGTAAGATTACAAGTACAGTTTCTGTAACACTTTCATATTTTACAATTGGTTTCTGTTTGGGCGATAGTTTTGAAGGGAGTAAACCTTTGCTGGCAATCTGATGACCTAGTCTTCTATGTCAATTGTAGTCAGCATATAACCCCTAGAAATTACCCTAATATCCATATTGTCCTTCGGAGTAGCGGGGAGAAGAGGAGAGGAGAGAAGAGAGAAGTGTGTTAAACACAGGACTAAGCACATAGTAAGCATGTGCTTTACCATTGAGCTATACCCCAGTCCTGACATACTTTTTAAATGAGTCATATGTTCTGTAGCCATAAAAGTGCCAAAAATTGATGAAATGTAATTGATGCTATCTATGTTTTTGTTTTTTGGGTTTTTTTTTTCTTTTTTTTTTTTTTTTTTCTTTTGGTCTTTTTCGTTTTTATCTGTATCAGGGATCGAACTCAACGACTGCCTGCTTGCAAGGCAGGTGCTTATGCCGCTGAGCTAAATCCCCAGCCCCTATCTA